AGGGGCCGAGTAAACAAGCAGTAGTTCAGGGGCTCAGGCCCTCAGGCCTGGGGAGGGGGAGACTGCCACCCACGAGTTGGGTGGCAGGGGGGACGCAGGCCCTCCCACTCCACTGTGTTCCAGCCTGGGGCCCTAACAGCAGCAGTCCGTCTGCCGCTGGGTCAGTGGGGATCCTGACCGCAACACACTGACATGGGCTCGGGGTCTGTTATCCCCGGGCCACTTCCAATCTCCCCCTCCATGGGTACCTGCATGTCCTCAGTCTCCTCCACCGTGTCCCAGACCATGGGCTCCTCAGGGCACTGAGCGCTGGGTAGGTTGGGTGGCTCCTCCGGACCCTCGGCGGGGGGAAGCTCAGGCCGCTCCTCGGGACACCGGGCTCGGGGCCGGCTCGGCCAGTCCTCCTCAGGATACTGGGCTCGGGGCAGGCTTGGCCAGTCCTCCTCAGGATACCGGGCTCGGGGCAGACTCGGCCAGTCCTGCTCAGGATACTGGGCTCGGGGCAGGCTTGGCCAGTCCTCCTCAGGATACCGGGCTCGGGGCAGACTCGGCCAGTCCTGCTCGGGCACCAGCGTCTGTCCTCTCCCGCGGCCGGCAGCCAACTGAGCGCTGGGGCCGAGCCTTTATACTTCCTGTCCCGCCCCTTGACTTCTGGGGGGCGGGGACAGGCGGCGGTGACTCCATCCACTCTGGCGGCTGTTCTGGCTCGTCCCTCGCAGGGGCAGCCGGGAGCCAGGCCCCCTCACTACAGTGCTCAATAATATTTAAACATTAGGTGATAAAGAAAAACTGCATAATTTCCAGTTCTATATCCACCTTGGTGATAACCACCACACATATGCCTAACATGTGGCAGCAATTAAAATTTTCTTGCTGATGGGTTACCGCTGAGTGTCAAAAATGGGTCCAGGGTGGTAGACTAAGTCCAAATGGTGTGTGGTCCAATCACTGTATATAATAGGTGTTGGGGCCAGCACCCAGAACCTCTCATAACCAAACCTGATGCCACCTGCAAACATCTGCTGTGTTTCTAATAAGGGAGGTGACAAATCTGAGGAACTGTCTCAGACTGAGGTATCAATAGAGGAGGTTTTGGAGCAAATTGATAAGTTGAACAGTAAAGTCACCAGGACCAGATGGTATTCATCCACGAGTTCAATAGAACTCAAATATGATATTGCAGATCTACTAACTGTGGTATGTAACCTATCACTTAAATCAGCTTCTGTACCAGATGACTGTAAATAGCTAATGTGATGCCAATTTTAAACGAAGACCCCAGAGGCAATCCTGACAATTACAGGCTGGTAAGTCTAACTGCAGTACCAGGCAAATTGGTTGAAACTATAATAAAGAACAGAATTATCAACCACCTAGATGAACATGATTTGTTAAGGAAATCATGCCTCACCAATCTATTAGAATTCTTTGAGAGGTCAACAAACATGTGGACAAGAGTGATCCAGTGGATATAGTGTACTTGACCTTTCAGAAAACCTTAAACAAGGTCCCATTCAAAAGGCTCTTAAGCCAACTGAGCAGTCGTAGAATAAGGGAAGGCCCTTTCATGGATCAGTAACTGGTTAAGATATGAAGCAAAGGATAGGAATAAATGGTCAATTTTCAGAGTGGGGAGAGGTGAATAGCAGGGTCCCACAAGGATCAGTGCTGTTTAACATATTCAGAAATGATGTGAAAAAAGGGGCAAACACTGAGGTGGCAAAGTTTGCAGATACAAAATTACTCAAGGTAGTAAAGTCCAAGGCAGACTGTGAAGATTACAAAGGGATCTCACAAAACTTGGTGACAGGGCAACAAAAGGACAGATGAAATTCAACGTTGATAAAGGCAAAGTTTGGAAAGGGATTGATAATAAGACAGAAAATATCATACTGCCACTACATGGTATGACCATATCTTGAATACTGCATGCACTTCTGGTCACCACATCACAAAAAAGATATATTAGAAATGGAAAAGGTACAGAGAAGGAAAAAAAATTAAGGGTATGGAACAGCTTCAATAGGAAAAGAGATGAAAAAGACTGGGCCTGTTCTGCTTAGAAAAGAAACAAATGAGGGGGGGATATGACAGAGGTCTACAAAATCATAAATTGTGTGGAGAAAATGAATAAGGAAGTGCTGTTTACCCCTTTACATAGCATAACAACCAGGGATCACCCCATGAAATTAATAGGCAGCAGGTTTAAAACAAAAAAAAAGACAGTACTTCTTCACACAACACACAGTCAATCATCTCCTTGCCAGGGGATGCTGTGAAGGCCAACACTAAAAGATGGTTCTGGATGCAATCCCATGATCTGGGTGTCCCTAAGCTTCTGATTGTCAGAGGCTGGGACTGGATGACAGAGGATGGATCGCTTGATAATTGCCCTGTTCTTTTCATTCCCTTTGAAGCATCTGGCATTGGCCACTACTGGAAGACAGGATATTGGGCTAGATGGACAATTGGTCTAACCCAGTATGGCTTGTCTTATGGAGGATGAGTATGGAGTTTACTTACCTGCCATTGCATAAGGAGGTCAACTGTTGACTTAGCATACAGTATTGCATTTGACCCAATGAGCCAAATTCACTCTGGTGCCCCTTCACTTACTTTACATTATATGATGGTATCTGGGAATACATGCCTTGAAGAAACTGGCAGTGAACCAGGGATGAATTTGACCAAATGTGCTCATAAGGGATTTCTCATAATCTTCATAGTTTTATATTGTATCCTTGCCACTTATCCCATAGTTATCTTTTTCTTCAGAATGACTTTGAAAGAAACTTTGTTGACAGCTTTTTGAAAATTCAGGTAAATTATGTCAATCAAGTCATCTTTAGCTGTTACTTTATTAATTTTTTCAAAGAACTCTAGCAGGTCTGAGAATTACTGTTTCCCTTTATAGAAACTGCACTGCAATGTTTTTAAAAAGAGAAAAAGAAAGGGGGGAATGATTTACTAAAGGCCGCATCCTGCTACCAGTGAGAATTATTGGAAATGTTGCCTTTGATTTCAACAGAGCACAACAGAGTCCCAAAAGAGCTTGTAGTAGCAGGAGATTTTGAAAATTTTGGCAAATACGGAATACGGAAACTCAATGGGAATAATTCTAAAATAATGGCTGAAATTTGCTAAAAAAGAGTTAGTAATGTATTAGTAAATATTGTTGAACTAAATGTTACTAATTTAGGGTGAGGAACTGCAACTAAGCTGCCAGACTGTGGCTTTTTGATATTTTGTAAATTGTTAATCTTACTAAACAGAAACACAACTTTCCTTTATAAACCAGCATAACCTGGCGCACCATGACATGGTATAATGACATACTGTATCATTGTAATAGTCTCTTAGGTAACAACAGGAAACTACATAGGATTAGGAAAGCACTTTAGTATCCTGGGCACCTCTGGATGTCTGTGATGTCAGAGTCACATTACACACCTGGGTGTGACTGTTTTACTTATTTCTATTTATAAATACTGTTTCATAATGGGTAATAATATGTTCCAGTCAATGCATTTGTAAAGGGTTGCTGTACACCATGGGTAGATAATTACTTTTCTTCTCTGACCTTGTGGCTCATCACACTACCCAATGCATGTGGTAATAACCAATTTAATTGCATTTCACATCTTAGTGCTCCAAGTGTGTGTCTCATCGGATGGTTGTTCTGGGACTCGGGAAATTAGTTGATGGCCTCTATTTAGCTCTTAGTGGGTAGATTGCCAACTCTCTCAAAATCCACTTTCACCCTTGTGCATAGTCTGAGAAGACAGTAGTACCCTGTCTTTGAGCTGGTCATTGCATGTCAAAGTTAAAGCACCTCCTGGGGAAGTTTGCCAACAAAAATTAAATAAATAAATAAAAAATAGCTGAGGGCGTATCCCACTTTTGGGCATGCTACAAATAATTATTATTATAAACATGTTGGGTCAGCGAAACTAGTTTAGGCCCTGACCCTGCATGTTGGTGGGCCGTCAATTGCAGAATTGGGGTGTTAGTTGGCAGAGTCTATTCATTCCCTTCTTAACACTTAATGGTGATGGCTATTCAGTTTTTTTAACTAATATGATGAATCACCCTTCTAAAAGTGGCAACTCTTAAGAATGTAGTTATGTATGTATGGTAAGAAATTAAACATCTCCTGTGATCATGACAGAAATGGTCAAGAAAAAGGTGTATGGCAATGAGAACCAGGCCCTAAATTTCAGTTTGGCAATGCCCCTTTATGTGGAAACCAGCCAGAAACTCAACCTAGTTTGAGCACTTTAAGTGGTGCTGGTTCTCTTTCCGGAGGTGAATTATGGTCGGTTTATGGCCCTGAGTTGTACACCCAGTTCTGACAGAATACCGACATATTCTTTGTTCCAAAACACCGACAGTCTCACTCTGAGGTTCTCAAACTTTTTTTTTATAGCATGACCCAGACCTCAATACCTAGACTGTCTCATCGCCCCCTTCTTTCCTAGTCACAAAGGTCTAAGACGGTGGCAATTCTAGCAATTGCTTCCATAGAAAAGTAGCATTAGGAAAGTATTTAATGTATTTTTAACTGTCTGGTGTGATTTAACAGTTGGAAAGATGGAGGCAGACAGGGGCAGCACCATGGGACCCGCCAGCCTGCCACGCACCTCTGTGTGGGAATCTCAGATCTAAACAGTTGCGCTGTCAAGTCTGAATCATGTATTAGTTACTAGCCCAGGGTGTCAGGGGTCAGTCCAGGATAGGGCTGTTGTTCAGGCTGGGTGCTGGGCAAGCAGGTGCTGAGGCAGCAAGGCAAGGGCTGTCACAGACTGGCAAGAGCCGTGTTTTCCCAGCTGCCCATCTCTCCCTGGTTCCCCCCACCCTTTTCCTACCTGCCTCTTCTCTGGCTCCCTGCAGCACCGGCCTGGCCCGTGCCCCGGGCAGCTGGCGCGCGACACCTCACCTGGCCGCCTCCTCCTGGCGCTTTCCACCCCTAGAGGCGCTGCGGAGGCTCCCGGCGGAGGCCATAAAAAGCGCCGCAGTAGCGGCCCCGCAGTGTTTTGCGGCCCCGCCCGCCCCCTTTCGCAGCGCAGAGAGCCGGCCGCGTGCGCACTGCTCCGCCGCGCCAGCATGTCCGCGCTGAGCTCCGCCCGCCGCCTGCTCCTGCTGCGCCCGCCGCAGCTCGCCTGCCCGCGGGCCGCCCGGAGCCGGGGCTGCAGCAGCGCCAGCCCGCGGAACCCGCTGGTCTACCTGGACGTGGGAGCCGACAACCAGCCCCTGGGGCGCGTCGTGTTGGAGGTAGCCCCCCCGGGGTCCCCTGTTCCCGGCCGGCGGGGCTCTGCTGGCCCCACGCTGGGAGTCAGCCGGAGCAGCCCCCAACCCTGATCCAGGCGGCTGGGGCGGTGCGAGGGGTGAGGGAGACCCCGGCTCGGGGTGATGGTGTCCGGTGCCCGAAGCAGGCTGGGAATCCAGAGAGCCGCCGGGGGGTTGTTCCTGGCTTCGCCACTGGCTGGCGGTGTGACCTTGGGCGAGTTCCGGCTGCTGCTTGAGCGCGCCCCCCTCCCTGCGCCTGGCCAAGGAGATCGGGGAGAGGCAGCTGTAAAAAGCTCTTTGGGAGTCGGGATTCAATAAGGATTGTTATCTGGAAATAGTGTTTGCTCCAGATCTGAACCACCTGTATCGTGCCCAGCTGCTACAGGAATATTTGCCTTACAAATAGCCATCTAAACACTCTTCCCGAGCGCCTTTGAAAAAGCCAGGCCTGTGTCTCGCACGCACAGGGAGTGTGTGGTAGGGACATTGTCTAGTATCAAATTATGCAACAGGACAGTCCCCATCACTGCCCTTTAGAGGTCACTGGCAGGCTGAGTTCTTATTATTTACTTTGCACTTACCAAGGTCACACAAAAAGTAAGTCCGGCTAGAGCTGGGAATGCACACCAGATATCCTGACTCCCAGTCCTGTGCCTTAATTGCTAGACCATGCATCCTTTCAATATAATATGTCCCCTCCTGCTCCTGAATGCCTGTTCTAGGCAGTGCCAGAAGGAACTCCAGGAGGAATTGGTTTAATATCTAGTATATAAAGTGGATATCCAGACTTATTTGTATGTTGATTTACTCTAAATTGATGAGGTGGGGGCAAAAAGTCCTGTCATGGAGGAGATGAGTACCTGGCTTTGAAAGTGACACAGCCTTTGGTCATGATTGGCAGAGGAGCGGACTTTACCACATGAGCAGAACTGTCATTTACCAAGGGAGAGCACCAAAACGTTCAAACAGGAAATGTTACTGAGTAGCGTGTTGCAAGTGTATTCTCCCTAGCCAAACTCAAACAGCAAAACCCCCAGCTGGTGTTGTTTGGGTACATATTGAGCACTCAGTGAACTGTTGCTCTGTCTTCAGGAACTCACCTATGAAAGTACATAAATACTGACCCAATGGAGTAGTTAAGACTGTAAAATTCTCCTTTGTAGAATCACTCAATCTACTGAAATTCAAGCTGTACAGTTTTAGTAACTTCCACAGACTTTGGATCCTCTTATTTTATCTCCCAGTCCTCCCCAAATCCTATTTCTTAAACTTAAGTTTCAGTATGAAAATGAAACAGCCCACTTCCTGTATGTGGCTATTATTATTTAACTTCCTCCCGCTCTGATAGGGCAGTTGAGAACTTTTCAGTGGTAGGCTTCTGGCATTATATATGTTGTTTGTCTTCTTTCAGCTAAAGAGCTTTGTTAAGGCTGGCTTCTTTGTTAAGGTGAAGTATGAAAATTACCTGTAAAAGAGTCATAGAAATTGTGGAGAGATGGACAATTATGAAAGGTCCTGGGAATGAGTATGTTCGTAATACACACAGAAAATGATCCATCTGTTTTTGCTTTCTCAGTTTTCTGTTGGGTTATGTCCCCACAATTTCTGTTGAGAAGTTAAATAATGCATCTAGAGATGGAGAGAAATGAGTAATACTGGTTTGCTTCAACTGTTAATCTTTGAACTAAGAGGCAAGTTTGGACTAAAATGCTTTGAAGAAAAATTCTGAATTTTTAAATTGATTAAAAACAAAATATGTATCTAGAAAATTATGCTTAAATTGCATAGAGTAAGCAAAGTGTTTCTGAAATAATAAAACACCAGAAACTATTTCAGTTGTCCAAAACTGCCTTTCCAGCTGCAGTCTTCAGTATAGCTTATGTAAATGCACTTGAGACTTTTGGATATGTAGCTATTGTCTCTTTCTTTCTCATAGGCTCAGGGCCGGCTCCAGGCACCAGCCAACCAAGCACGTGCTTGGGGCGGCACCTGGTAAGGGGCGGCCAATCTTGGGGTGGCGGGGGGCAGCGCAGCGCTCGGCGGGGGAGGTGTTCCGGCGGTGCAGCGCGGGGCGGGGGGTGTTCGGCGGTGCGGCGCGGGGGGGGGTTCGGCGGCGCGGCGCTCGGCGGGGGTTTCGGCAACACAGCGCTCCATGGGGGACGGGGGTTTCAGCAGCGCGGCGCTCCGCGGGGGTTTCAGGGGGGGGGGGGGGGGGGGGGGGGG